GATAAAATGAAACGAAAACAAGAACAGCAAAAAGCAAAAAATAAAATAAACAATCGACAAGATAGAATCAGAAAATTCAATAAGACATTTTGTTCGTGTTCACTCTCACAACAACATTCTTACAAGTTTTTAAACAAAAAATTATGTACACTTTTTTATGATTGACATGAAAAACGGTTCCTTCCATTCCGGCCATACTCAATCATTTTTCTTTTTTCATAATTTTTTTTTCGAGAAGCCAACGACTTGAGAAATACTTTCACTCAACGGAAACGAATTTGATTGCTATTTTCGCAATAAGTTTTTGACTTTGTGTGTATTTTTTTTGCATATATTTTCTATTTTTCATCATGCATATACCAAAATATGATAAAATAAAATTATATGATGAATTTCGAAACAGTCAATGCCAATGTTGTAAACAACTAATGTTTTTTAAGGTGGCCGCATTCCTGTTATTGCGTCTTAGAAATATTATTGATCTTTACAACAATTCACATTCCTTTTCAGTAAAAGACGATTTTCGTAAGTCACTACTCATCTTCATGGAGCCTCATTAATGTTAATATATGATTCAAGTAAAATGCCCTACTTTACTTTGTAGCCGTCTGAATCGACAAAGTCTATGTGGTTCTGAATTTTTATTGTATTATTAAAGGGATTATTTGAATTTTTCAGACATTTTCTTCGACATTTCAAAATGCCCAATTTCATATAACTAAATAGCGTTTGGTGTTATTGTTGTTAAAATAAATTTTGCAAACAGCAAAAAAAACGACTTTGGAGATATAATATATTAATCTATAAAAGTGTGTAACACACATACACAAAAATACATGAAATGCATTCAAAACATCCACTGAAACAATAACAATAACAGGTCAGATCATTTGTTCTAAGCATTATTTACTATAATCTAAAGAATATACTTTATTTTATTTATTCATTTGCATTTCGTATGGTCTTTTGTTTATTTTGTTAAAAAATTGTTTGTCAGGCAAATCTTTTTCTGCAGATTTTTCTTCTTCTGAAAGCAATTCGCATTCTTTTTTTGTTTTACATTCGTTCAAAATAATAAAAATGGTCCGAAGTTCCAAAAAACAAATTGCAACTTATTGTCCATTGTGTGTGTGTATTCATAAATATAAAACATCACATGAATATTTAAAAAAAAGACAACATGCAATTTCGGTAGGGACTTATGAATTTAGCAATATATTCATTGTGTTTTGACATTTTACAATTATTGATACGTTGAAGTGAGGTTGTGTTCTCTGTGTCAAATGATTTGCATCTTTGAAAGTGAAGAGATTTGCTATTGTGATTGTATGTGTGCACACCAATTCGCACCGAGTGAGATGGAAAGAGATAGAAACATTAAAGAAATAAGTGACAGAGATTAGAGAGAGAGAGAGAGAGAGAGAGAGAGAAGGTATAAAGAGAAACAAGACACATTTGTTTTTCCAGACACATTTGTTTCTATTTTGCATTTTGAAAAAAACCATCAGCCGAAAAACATCAGTTGTCAGTGTGGGAAGTTCAATCGTACATTAAAAACAGTTAACAAATTGGCATAGTAGCCATTGCACATAAATAAACTTTGACAATATTACTACGTTTTAAAAAAGTATTACAATTACAGTGGTTCGTGATGGACGTGGCAAAGAAATTTTGTGGAGTTGATGTTGATCGAAATAAGCAAACAATAATTGATTCGACCACATTTTTGAAATTGAACGATGATTGCATCGAGGCGATTTTCATTTATTTAAAAATTAATGATTTGAGTTCATTGAGTCAAACGTGTAAACGAATATATAAATTGGGCAACGAATACTTTCGTCGAGCACACACCGGCTATGCCATCAATATAACAAACACAATATCGGGCCCAGTGATAAAAACTAGCAATAAACATGTGCAAACGTTTCAATCAAACATACGACATATCCAAATTACAAGCGAATATTGGAACCTGAAACCGATGCCTTTGTTCACATTTATACGCAATAATTGTTGCAAAGATTTGACGGAGCTGCAAATTGACAATGTCAATTTAAAACCAAAAGAATTGTACGGCGATGTAATAAAAAACCAATTGAGAAATCTTACCACAATCTCGTTCATCAATTGTTTTTATGACATACATAACAGTTTTCTAAAATACTGTGAAAACTTGAAGCATTTGATCATAAGACACGACTTCGAATCACTAAAGCATTATCAATGGATGTCCAAAAGCTATCCGAATCTCGAGACATTGGTGTATGATTTCAAAAGTCGCTATAATAGCCAAGAGGCAGTCTCCGATCCGCAACTCATCACTTATCATCCGTTGAAAGAGTTTCTTGCAAATAATCCACAAATAAAAAATGTAACATTGAATTGTCGTCGATTTTCCTGCATCACATCACCAGAACTTTACATAAATTTGGACTATTTGGTGTTAACCATTGAGCACATTCAATTTTTGATTACTTATTTGGACGATTTGAAATCGTTGTGCGAAAATGGGCAAGTGCGTCACATTAAGCTAGACTTTGATTATAGTGTGACATTTTATGACGTCGACTTATTCCCAATTATGTTGGAGAGCCTGAAACATGAAAATCAACCGATAATTGATAGTCTACAATTTTGCATAACCGAAATGACATTGAATAGCTACCATCCGGTCACCCACGAGCTAATGTCCGATATCAAATCGTTGCGTTTAGAAGTAGCAAAACCAATATGCAGCGATGTTTTTCCACAATTATCGGCGAATTTTCCGAATTTGGTTGAATTTCATCTGCATCAATGGTGGCTAGAGTCTACCTCAAATGTTGATCATTGCATCGCTGTGCTTGCAGCCAATCTAAAAAATCTCAAAATAATTGTAATTCATCGCATTTATTCGTCAACGTTTTCGGGCAATTTTATACCACATGTGAACGAATTACGGAACAGTTTGACGGATGCATGCCGATTAACTATCTATATTCCATACGACGTTTTGTGCCGAGCTAGAATAAACAATCTAAAAGGAAGTCTTGTCGATGTACAATCAATTTGTGAATTGAAACGCGATACATTCACTCACGAAAAGGGGGTCCTTTATATTTAACTATCGTTAACATAGCAATTACCCAATGATTATTTATTTAACATTATTATTATTATTATTTTTTTTTGTCACTATTACACAAAAGAAAGGATCAATTATCTTATTCTGAGGTAATTTAAAATATCCTCTGAAAATCGCTGTAGTTTTAACAGTAGCATAATGAATTATCTATTGAATAATAAGTCTTTGAAAAATGAGCAGATAATATAAACGATTTGATTGCTCTAACTGATTGATTTATTATACTCATAATATTATAATGTTTCATTAGTACAATATTATCACATTAATTGAATACTTCAGTTTTGATTCGAAGTACGCGAGTACATTGAAAGTATGGATGAATGTGCTTCAATTTTTTTTTTGTTTATTTTTCCAATTTATTTGGTTCACACAGTCTGAAAATTGGATCCAATTATCGAAGCTAACAAAAAAAACATGACAAATCCAAATCATTTATCGTATTTTTAGCAAATCATTATTTTCTTCCTTATGATTTTTCGTTTGTCTGTGAAGTGGAATCAACATTGTTGCAAAAGCAACCAATTAAGTGTAATTATTAAAAGTGTATTATTTTAAACTCTTCATCGCAACATTACTTGGAACTAAACCAATAATATTCTTGATTTATTGACATGCTTTTAGTACAATTTAGTCTGTGTTTTAAAGAGAGAAATAAAAATGTGCCTTTAATGTCGCACTAGTTAAGCCAAAACATGAAATCTTATAAACTAAGACCATATAGGTTAAGAAAATAAACAATGATTGAATTATTTGAAAAAAAAAAAAAATAATAAAAAAATAAAAAAAAACATTAAACAAGCTCAATTTTCTTTCTTTCATATTTAAAATTTGTCAACGCTCTGGTGTTTTTTTTTTTGCTTTCACACTTCAAATCTGCCATTCACAGATTCATAGTCGGCATTTTAATGGTAATGTATAAAATGTCTCCGTTGACATTTCATTCTTTTATTGTTCAAAGAATTTTGTTTGAAAAGCAAACTTGTCAATGCATTTGGTCAACGTACGTAAAACTTTCATAAATGAAAAACTTCTGAAAAACCAAATCAAACATTTTCGTGTATATAATGAATTGATTACAAAAGTCGACAATATTTTGCAATTTATTATCTTTTGACACGGATTTTGGCATGCAGAAACTTTTCGTTTCAATCATATATCATATACATTTGTAAATTTGTTTGCTTTAAATTCCCACTGTGAAGTTTGTTGTCATATTTTCTGTGTATTCAAAAGATTCAAAAACCTCAGCAGAAAAGTTTTCTTTCATCGAACTCACAGCTGATTTCTCAAAGACTTGATTATATTGAAAACGGAATTGTAAAAAACATACACATTCATTTTTCAGATTGTGATTTGTATGTGAAAAGGGGAAACCACTTACAACTCAAGGGAATCGTTGAATATACGGTTATTTCAATCCCGTTATGTTGCTATTCCGAATTTTCAACCATTCTACAGCAAACACATCACTGTTATATGGTATAAGATCAGATCAGAATCTGATCAGCGTCGTTTAAATGTGCGCGTGAATACGTTTCATATGTGTATGACTAAGCGGCGTGTGTTAAACTGTACGAACGAATACATATACGAATGTAATGTGTGCTGCGCCTCTCGCCCATCTCAATGCAGCAGCCAACGTTGCTTCGATACAATGTTGTAGGAGGTCTTCATAAATATGATCGAAATATTAACGTCTTGAATCGTGCGCATAATATGATGGTATGCGTACGCGCGCCTTCACTCTCACTGAGTCTGAAGAGCATAAATCATCGTGCGCGAGCGTTTTAAACCGAACCTAATACGATATCGTAACAGTTTCAATTTGTGCCTTATTGAGGTGACAACGATCAATCTTCAGTCTTCGTCTGTCTTTTTTTCCCCATTTCTTCGCTCTCATCGTCATTTTTGATGCAATCAGTGTTTCAATAGTCATCGATTGAATTTTCAATGCAAATAATCTGTGTGTTTCACATAAAATAAGTGCAATTCAAATAGCAGACAATATACAATTTAATCAACGATTGATTTTGTGCTTAATTGAGGAAATTTAATTAAAATTTAATATCATTTCAAGACCATAAGTCTTGGTTGCATTAGTGACAGTAAAATCGATATTCCTTCGAAAGAAACTTGTGCATAATTGAACCGCATTTAAACAAACAATATTAACGAGCATTTCAGAGTTTTGATTGTGAACAGTTTTATTTTTGTTTTCTCGTAACGTTCAGTGTTGATTTGTTGAAACAATTTGCGAATCTGCCGTAATGGATTCGGGCAGCATTTCGACGGCTTTACAGAATATGGACGTTGGTTGTGGCAGCGGAAACATGGAAGATGCCATGCAGAATTTCATCAAAAATCATGTCCTCAGTAATCCAATTACATGCGAATCGACAAAAACAAAGTGAGTAATCAACCGTTGCCTTTTTACTGTTAAGCAAACATTATATTTTTATGAGGGGTGTGCTCTCTATTTGTCGTTCGAATTTATAAAAAAAAATCATTCTTCGCAATTTGCCAAACTTATTCTCAGTACATGTTTGTCAATGCGCGTATACTGAAAAAGGCAACCGAAAAACAATTAAAATTTGATAATGAATCATCGCAAAAATGCTAATTGAAATGATACATTCTATTGACATTTTCCGACGGTTTATCACACAATTTAAATTAACTTACACACACAGCATACTGTGTGCATGCACAGCATGAGCAAAAAATTCACACAATAAACTTTACCGAAATTAAATTTCCCAAAATCTCACCCGAAATTTAATTTATTTAATTAGAAAGGCTTCTACAGTATTGTGTGTACTTTATATCGCCGCACAATTTTCCTTTGTATCACTTTGATTCTTCATTTTGTCGCTTTTATCCTTCTTGTCGTTGGCCACATAATTTTGTTAACACAAATTACAAGCGCCACGCGTAACACAAGCAAAACATCCAATTCACTTGGGCTTCAATGAAAAATTCGTACTCGAGAATGCCTCGATTTTCATTGTTATCAATGTTTCGCTTATATTTAAAAAATAAAATATTTTTTTTTGCCATTGCACCTGTTTTTCGTACACTGTGATTGTTGTTATTGAATTTGTTCGTTGGCATTCGAAAAACAAGGTGTATTACGTAGAATAGGAATCAGTGTTTGCGGTTTGGTTTCTTCTTGTTTTCGCTCCTCATTGTCGCACCCATCAAGGACAAATCAAGTCTTTCAATGTTGCAAGAACATCTATTTTGCAACAAGAGATAAATTTGCAAAGGTTATCAAATACCCAAAATTTAATTAAAATTCAATCTTAGCCACATTCCTTTTGTTTTCCATCTTAATTCCATCTTGGTTGCTCAAGCAGCATGATGGTTTCACCACAAAACGAAAGAAGACGAGAGAGAGAAAAAACGAATACAGTCTAATCGCATCAGATTAATATATATTGGCTATATAGACAGTCATTGTCAAAGTTCGTTCGATATCAATAGGTGGTTGTGGTGGTGAAATGATTAAATTCACAAAACCAAGGGAAAATTAGTACATGTAATGCTTGTGTATGTGTGCCCGTGTGGTATTCAATAAAACATCTTGTGTACATTATCGAATTGATTTTACAAATTTCAATTGTATTTTGTACAAGTTCGTTCATTGGAAATTTCCACTTAAATTTGCGCATAAATTATTCCGTTGAAATCCCCAAAATTAAAATTAAGAATTAACCAATTAAATCCATTTGGTATTACGAATTTTGTATTTAAAACACGTTCGAACGGTTTTGTTTTAATTAAAATTTTGTGCTTGTATTCGATGTGATTCATTCGCGTTTCATTTTTTTGCAATGTTTTTTTGCAATGCCATTTATAATGAATGATGCAAAATGATGAAAATATCAAATAAATTGATTTTATTGGCAATTTTTTTAAAATGCAAAATAGCATCAGTTGCCAAAAATTTAAAAACAAATTTGTAAGAACTGGCCATTTCTTTTCGTGGTTCAACATAAGTTGTTCTCATGAAGTAAATCATGTTTCTTTTGACTTTTAAAATTGATGCGCTCAAGTGTATTTACACTGTTTGCAATCTGTTTGTTTAAATTTGTCATTGAGCGATGCTAACCGTCTATATCATTTCCTCTACATTTTTGTAGCCAAAGTACATAAAATAATGCGCCATCGTCATTTATTAAGTTATCATTATCTAAGAGAAATGCGTGCACACACATTTATATATATATATAAAGAAATATAAAGACATCTCCGATAAGAGGTAGTCTCATTCACTGTATCAAATCACACTTGCATCCATTTTCAGCGTCGTTTCGTTTCAACAAGGTGTTTTTGTAAACATTTAATGTTTGATTCGAAATAGGATACCCCGAAGCTGAATCAACATAATTGGTGTGTTTTTATGAACACTTCCCAATCACATCGCAAAGCAAACAAAGAAAAAGAAAACTAGAGAAAAAAAATCACTCTGAAAATAAGTGAAGTCAAACTGAAGCGGTATCATAGCAATGCGATAATAAAATATTCAAAAAATTGTGTTTTTGAATTTTATTTTTGTGTGTATTTAGAAAAAGACAGAGTCGAAGGAATTTTTTGAAAGTAAGAGAGAAAGAGAATTAAAAAAAAACGCAACCTTGCCTATAATCTTAAAGGAAGCCTCATAAAGTACAAATGTAAACATTTGCGTTGAAAATGTGTCTTTGTCTTACACACTTCTGTCTACTCTATGTGTCGCTCTTCATCAATGCATAAAAGCAAGTAGTTAACACATCGGTGTTAAATATTAGACAGGGTGCGGTAACTTTTAAAAATGATCTTTTAGACGGTGATGATTTTTTCATCATCATCATTCTCTTCCTTATGATTTTGCGTTAAAAGACGGGAAAAGGCGCAGTGTTTTCTTGTTAACATTGATTAGAGCCATTGATTTAAACAACATTTAAAGGAATGATAGAAGAAGAAGAAAAAATACAGCGCCAATTTGACGTGAAAAATCGTATCTCAATCGCTCTATCTCACGGTGAAATTCTCACCGGTCAATGGCGAATCACTTTGTGCGGCAGTCAAATGAATAATTTGTATGCAATAAAAATTGCATACTATATCTCGACATTGTCATAAAACTTCTTTGTTCACAAGTTTTGGCAAAAGTGAATGTGATGAATCGTCAAAATGTCAACAAAAGCGAAGAAGACGGAAGTTAAGAATTCGAAATAGTAAGTTGTTGAATGTTATGTGTCACGAGCCATGGACACAAGGATGTTTACAAAAAACATAAATTGAAAGAAGAAAATGGCAAAAATGGCAAAAATTCGAGAGATAGGCATAAATCATTTGAGTGTGATTCGTCATCGTTTGTTATGCATGTCGCTTGCGAACAGGTCCTTCATTCATTACTTAGAAGATGCCTTCGAATAAATGCTTTCCGTGTATGACGTACTCAAAACGCTTCGGTAAAGAAAATAAACAACGATGAATAAACGGTTATTCTCGACCTCTCTCTCTCTCTCTCATTCTGCAGTTTTTTGAATAAAAAATTCTCATCTTTCGCACTTTCTTCGAGAAAACAGTTCAAATTGCTTGTTATATTAGACAATATGCTGCTTTTCTTTCATTTTGCTGAGGTTTTATTGGATTTTTTCTGCTAAACATGTGAAAGAAAGAGATTCTTTGATACGCGGCATAATTTTATTGCTGAACAAGCAACCTGAAATGATCTGCCATGACGAAAGATAGCATTCATCTTATCGCTGTGAAAGTCGCATTATTTTCATTCCACTTCCTTTATATGTTTAAACACACTTTCCACCTATAAAGATATTGTCTTTTTTTATAAGATGTTTGATGACAACGAAGAAATAAAAAAAAAACTGAACGTCGAAAGAAAAAACACATTCCTTTGCCTGCCATCATCTCGGTGACAGTATGATTAAATCATTAAGCCACCCCCAACATATTTTTTATATTGATGAATAATTTCTTTTCAATAAAAGCGAACACCCTTCGGACGTGCTGCATTGAAACCCATATACAAACACACCGCCGGCAACACTGAATAATAATTGTTGACATGCGGAGCTGAAAGAAGAAAAAATAAATGAACTATTGATGTTGTATCGATATGCAGGGTAGTCATGGATTAACTTGCTTTTATTGTACGATTCCTTGAAAAAGAAAAAAAAACACCCTAATAAAAGTTGGCGTTTGTCAGAAGTTAAATATCAAAACGCACACACGAAAGTTGAAAATTGAAAAGAAAGTGATGTACAAACAACAAAACGAAGTGAAAACAAATAGCAAAATTCCTTATCGCGTAATATTTTTCTATGCGCCTGTTTTTTTTTTGTCCGGTTTGCTTGTTCTCTTGAGAAAGGGAGGAAAGAAAATACGCAAAAGAAAATAGAATAAAAGCAAACATTCGTTGTCGTCATTTGCCTGTTTGTTTCATTTTGTCAAATCAAAAGCAGTGTATTCAAACACGAGTTCGAAGTTCAAATCAAGTACATGTTTAAAATAGCGCACCCACTCTGAACTGTGATTTAGGCTATTCCAAAGCTAACAATAACAGTAGTAAAGGCAACGGTAGAGCTAAAGTGTATCTTTACATAAACATAACAACTGCATCGCGTCACACTTTACATGAGCTATCCTTGCTATCTAAACTTAACTTTTAATTTAACTAAAAACTTGAAAAAAAATCTTCAACTTGTTCCAGGACCAATGCTGCGTGTGCCTTATGCACTCGTATGGGATGCATGCATGTTATGCGATCACGAAACAATACATATATTACGGGGATAAAATTGAAGTTGGGGAATATACAGTGAAATAAGTTTTAACTACAGTTTTTCCGTTGTATGATAATCATTTTCACTTGTATTATAATATCCATGCATGCATACTGTCAAATTATTATGAATGTTCAAAAATTTGCGACAAAGAAAAAACTACAACGCATGGATATTTGTAGTAATATGTTAGAACACCCCAAAAAACATACACACATGGAATATCAACCCGAATGCAAATATATGTGAATAGTGAATAAAACTATTCACGGTAAACCGCAAATAAAATCAATTAATACCACAAGCCCAAAGTTTCTTTCAATAGAAATACACAAGTTTATGTTCTGTGACATGGAAAAATATAATAATTATTTCTGTGGTATTCTACTTTGATTTTATAACGTGCGAAGCAGTGTTTTTCTAGAAGCTGATAAATAACGAAGAGGCACATAACAACCAAGAAGTAAGAAATGTAAACAGTACAATATTCTGTTTAAAATATTGCCACTTCCTGTCATAATGATGACTCTTCCGTCCCAATTTGAATAAAAAATCTTTCATGCATTAAAAATATTATATTGCTATATGGAGTAAATGAAATGTCTCTCTTTTGTGTCTT